ACATCGATTCTAGGAGGCAGCGCGTGGAAGAACTTCAGGGGAACGCATGACCACTTGTTGGCTTAGCATCCCGCCACGTGCGGCCTGGACTCTGTTAGGAATTAAGCTAATCTGTTTCAACACTCATACACTTCACTATAACTGATAACCCACAATAATCTTTGGAAACTCGGTTTATAGCGGTATACGATCAAGGGTACCCGTCATGGCAAATGTTTGCTCATTCCTCTACTAAAGCCTCATCATCCATCATACGAATGCAGAAGCCACACTAACTAACGGTCTATGAACGGCGGCCATCAGCAATTCTGGTACAATCTTATCTGCCCATTTTTTTGACATTGTCCAACCAGTTTTTGCGTTTGCGTTTTCTCCTATGTCCATCTTCAACGATGCCTGGCATCATGGCCTTGCAAAGACTGCCGTGTCTTGTAAGGTGTCCAAAACCCACGGCATTATTCTCCGTTTGACAGTGGCGGGATAAGGTTCCAGGTACCCCACAAACCTTTCAACCCTTTTCCGCACGAACTCATTGATTTTTTTGTTACCAAAAAACAAATTGGAGGAATAGTGTCTGGGCGTGAATGAAAATCTGATGCAATCGCTGATGACGCACTATTTTTTCAAAACCAAGCAATTTTCATCATACACCCCGAAAACTGATTCATATTACTGCACACCACTACAAATGACCTAATGTGAGGAAAAGTAGAAACCGATTACACCTTGTCATTCCAGTGGGTCTAAAACTGACCGTAAGGTGAAAGAAATGAAACTAAATCTGTTGTTTCAATTAATTTACACAAAGGTATAAGTCCATCTACGAACTGCATCCTGGGTATGACGATAACCTGCATCCACGTCCTGGGTAAGACGATAAACTACGTCCAGCAGCAAGACCTCTGATCAAGAGGTTTTGAGAAGCGTGGAACCACCTCTTAATTGCTGGTGTTCCGAGGTCCACCCTGACCCGAGGTGGTAGCACCTGTTAGGGTCCCAGCTATGGGTAAATACGTAACCCCCAAACTGAGGTAAAAAGCGTTATAAAAGTGTAAAAATAGGTTTTAATACTAGAAATATTTTGTAAAAAATTATTACCAGAAATAAATTTTTGAAGAAAAAACTATTACCTGCAATACGTTTTTGAAAAAAAAAATACCAGCAAGACAATATTACCAGCAATTTCGCCCTTGCATGGATTATTTCTACCATATATTGTCTGGAGCCTCTTCTGTTTGCCTCGGGGTTCTTGATAAGCTCCAGAGACGGATATGCAATGTAATTGGCCCTGATCTGGCATCTCGTCTGCAGTCGCTCTCTCACAGACGTGCCGTCGCCTCTCTCTGTTTTTTTTACAAATACTTTCAGGGTAACTGCTCCGATGAACTGCTTTCGCTGGTTCCAAACTTCGCGAATTCAATCTCCCTACGAGGCTGGCATCCCGCTCTCACCGAGTCACTGTCGAAACTCCTAAATGTAGCCGTCTCTTCTACTCCAATAGCTTCATGTCTCGCACCTCTCGCCTGTGGAACTCCCTTCTCTTTTCCTGTTTCCTTGATAATAATAATCTCCAACTATTCAAACGTAATTTTAATCAACATCTCCAGTAGCTTTGATCTATCCACTATCCTTCTCCTCATCCTTCTAATCCTTTCCTCTATCACTCCTACCTGCTCTTGCTCCAAATCTTCTGTAACCCCTTGCGTACTAGAGGCTTCCTGCCTTGCTTGGGGTGAAATGCTTAAAAAAAATACGTTTTTGAAAAAAAATAATATACTACAAGCAATACGTTTTTGAAAAAATAATATTACAAGCTGTACATTTTTGAGAAAAAAAATATTAACAGAAATAGATTTTTGACAAATAAAAAATATTACCTGGAAAAAAAAAAGTTGTCGGCATTAAATGAGCCATTGAGGTTGATATGCCGTAAAACAATACAAACCAAACCGAAACATTTACGAACTGACAGGTCTTCTTTTGATAATAATCGTCAATCAGCTCAGAAATTAACTGAATGTTCTGATAAGTAAGGAAGTAAAAATCTCAATATATTTTTATTCTACTTCCGAGAACATTTTCTATACTATTATTTGTACTCATTGTTTTTCACAATATTTGTAACTTGTGGTTTTATCTAAGGATTAAGTGATAGCGGGTTTCCTCAATCCGACGGAACTTTTCTCCTTGTTCTGAGGATTTTTTTCTTCTCCTAATTTCCATTTTAACCAATATTCTTCTTAGCTTATTCGAAACCGTCTCAGTACTCGGATAACAACCGGTATGACCATTATATCCATATGATGCAGATTTCTTTTTTATCTCTGGCAGGGTCCAGACATTTATTATTCTTTTTCTGTTTCTTTACATTTACAAAGCCCGGGGGCCACTCGAGGTAGAGGGATACGTTAAGAAACAATTTGTGTGTATAGGTGAGGGAGATAACAGTTAACCCTAGCCTTGAATATGTTAAGATTGTAGTGATCGAGGAAAACATCCTGTTGGGAGTCGATTCTACAGGACAGTGGTTCGCAGGAAGAAGCTGTTCGCAGATGAAATATGGAGGAAAAATGGGTGGTTTGCTCTAATGAAAGATTTTCCAGCATAAAGACGGTCCATGGTATGAAAAAATGGCTCCCCACAGATTCTTTTTCTTTATTATCTGGGGAAAGATACTGTAGTGGTGTCTTGTTATCTTTTCCATGGTTTTGAATACCATTATCATTTATTTTGTTCCTTTAAATGATATATCCATTAGGCCCAAGATCCCCAACCATCGGGCCATGGACGAGTACTGGGTTGTGTATCATTTGCTCAAAAACCACAAAGAAATAATTAACTTGTTTAAAATTATATAATAGATAAATCGAATTTCAGACTTTAATTTCCAATACCATATCTTTGTGAAGTGGGACTTTTTTATTTTATTTACAGTGAGTCACCCTTTACAAAAGCCGGGGGCCACTTGAGATGAAGGATTACGTTAGGAGGCCATCTGTGTGTATGGTTGTGGGAGATAATTATTAACCCTAGCTTTGAATATGTTAAGATTGTAGTGATCAGGGAAACATTATGTTGGGAGTTGATTCCACAGGGCAGTGGTTCTCGGGAAGAAGCTGTTCGAGAGGAACTTACTTCTCACCGAGGGAATATTGAGGGAATGTGGGTAGTTTGCTGTTAAGTGGCATGGCGTGTTCTTGTCATGGCGATAGTTCGTCCGAGCACTTTCCGTGGAAGCAGCGGTAAATCAATGAGAGGCTTCCAACATCTCGCCTGTGGGAAGAGGTCTAAGGGTGGAGAATAATTCGTCCCTAAAAAGGGCTCAGAGACGTCTTTGAACTGTATCAGATTGAGGTCTAGGCATCTCCTGTCCAGATATGACGACAGTCCTCTATTTTTGGCCTGATTTTGCCCTTGCATACGTAGAGAATAAGCAGGAGGGGTCAGCTACATACCATTTTACCTGAATCCTTAGCAACGGATCGTATGTACGAGTTCCACTTGAGATCGGGCGTGAGTCTGAGGTCCAACAGTCTTTGAAGGAACGGGACTTCCCTGAAAGGACCTCCATTTATCTTGATTGGTGGTAGTTCATGGTCAGATGATGGAACGTGAAACAACGAATTTATTCGTTTCTACAGGTTATCAACCCTTTACAAGTTATTTAAAGCCAGATAATACTTTTAGACTTTTTTTTTCTTTTAGTGATAAGAATTATTTAGTGCTACGAGTATTACTAATTAACCCAAAGTTGGGGGAAGAAGAGGTGGATTTATACCCCCCCCCCAATGGTATCTGTGCCAAAGTGAATACAACGAAAACAACGCGAATTGGAATAATTAACAATTCCAAAACATCATCCATTGCCTTACCCGCAAGCTTACGGCACCTGGTATTCCCAAGCGGTCACCCATCTAAGTAATGACCAGGATTGGTATTGCTTAACTTCGGTCATCGTACAGGAAGCGTTTTTAGACTTTGTTAATCATTGCCAAATCCGCTCTGTTGCTTGAATTGGAGAAATCCACATGATGCTCAAGTCCCAAGGAGGAGTAGGAGAAAGAATTATTATTATTATTATTATTATTATTGTTGTTGTTGTTTTGCTGTTATGAAATTTTGTATTCAACAGCTATTGTGACTGTATTTGTAAAGAAAGTAAATCTCAACAAAAGACGTGAAGTTTACTTGTGGAATTGTTCGTTGCGAGAACGTAGCCTATGGCGAATCGAAGAAAGCTCACATCCTGAGGAGAGTGACGGCTTCGTCTCTTGTCAAGATTTGTAAAAGACGGTCGGGAAGGCATGGAATACACAATCATCATGATAACGGTTGGAATTGGAAGAAGATTGCGAAAACAATGAAACAGAAATGGAGGAAAACAGAAACGAAAAAAAAGAAAGAAACAGAAAGAAATGAAGGAAAATGAGAAACAAAGAATTGGAAAAAAAAAAAAAAATGAAAAGAATGACAACAAAGAAAGATAAATATGAAAGAACAAAAAATTGAAAGAATCTGTGTAAGAATGAATGAAAAGGAGCCTCTTATTTGTGACAACAAAAAGCAAAAAACCCACCAAAAGAAAGAATGAATTGGATGATGACACGGTGTCATGAAATATGTAAAAGAAAAATGAAAAGAAAGAATGAAAGAAACAAATGCAATCCTTGACCCACCAAAAGACAAAAATAGAAATGAAACACAGTGAATGGGAAGATAATATGAAAGATAATATGAAAGGAAAGAATGAAACAAACTGCAATATGAACCAAATATGAGAAACAAAGAATTGGATGAAACGGTGAATGGGGAATCTGAAAAAAAAAAGAAAGAAAGAATGAAACAAAAAAATGAACCAAATATGAAACAATAAAAATGACAAAAGTCAAAGAATCAGATAAATGAAAAGAGCCTCTTATTTGTGAAACAAAAAGAAAGAACCAAATGAAAGAAAAACAATAATATGAAAGAAAAAAAGAAAGTCAAAGAAATGAAAGAAATCAAATAATGAAAAAAAAAAAAAGAAAGAATGAAAGAAAGATGACCCACCAAATATGAAAAACAAAATGAAAGAAAGATGGGAATGAAAAAAAGATAATATGAAAAATATGAAAAAGAAAGAAAGAATTGGATGAGAAACACGGTGTCATGGGAAAATCAGATAATATGAAAAATGAAAAAAATAAAGAAAGAAAAATTGGAACGGTGTCAAAAATCTGAAAGAAAGATAATATGAAAAAAGCCTCTTATTTATTTGACCACCAAATATGAAACAAACTGCAATCCTTCTGAAAGAACCAAAATGAAAAACAAGACAAATTGGATGAAAAAAGAAAGAAAGAATGAAAGAAAGATAATATGAAAAGAAGCCTCTTATTTGTGAAACAAACTGCAATGAAAGAAACCAAATAAAAAAAATAGAATTGGATGATGATGAAAGGTGAAAAGGAATCTGTGTAATCAGATAAATGAAAAGAAAGCCTCTTATTTGTGACAACAAAAAAGAAAGAAAAATGAAAAAAAGATAAATTGGATGAAAAAAAGAAAGATGGGAATGAAAGTAAAGATAATATGAAAAAGACCTCTTAAAGACAACAAAGCAATCCTTCTGAAACCAAATATGAAACAATAGAATTGGATGACAACACGGTGAAAGGGAATCTGTGTAAAGATAATATGAAAAGAAATTTGTGACAACAAACTGAAAGACCAAATATGAAAACAAAGAATTGGATGAAAGAATGGGAAAATAATACGAAAGGAGCCTCTTATTTGAAAACAAAAAAGAAAGAAAAAATGAAAGAAAAAAAAAAAAAGATAAATGAAAAGAAAGAATGAAAAGAAAGATAATCATGGGAAAGTAAAAAAATGAAAAGAAAGCCTCTTAGAATGAAAAAAAGCAATCCTTCTGACCCACCAAAAGAAAAACAATAAAAGAATGGGAATGAAAGATAAAAAATGAAAGAAAAAAAGAAAAAGAAAGAATCAGAAAAAAATTTGTGAAACAAACTGCAATGACCCACCAAAATGAGAAAAATAGAATGAAAAAGTGTCATGGGAAAGTAATCAATATGAAAAAGCCTCTTATTTGTGACAACAAACTGCAATCCTTCTGACCCAAAAAAAAAACAAAAGAATTGGAAAAGAACAGTGTCATGAAAAAAAAGATAATAAGAAAAAGGCCTCTTATTTGTGACAACAAACTGCAAACCCACCAAAATGAAGAACAATAGAATTGGAAAAAAAATGGGAAAGTAATCAGATAATATGAAAAGGGACCTGAAAGACAAAAAAAAAAGAAAAATATGAAAAAAATAATTGGATGACAAAACGGTGTCATGGGAATCTGTGTAATCAGATAATATGAAAAGAAAACAACAAACTGCAAATGAACCAAATAAAAAACAATAGAATTGGAATGAAAGAAATGGGGAATATGTGTAATCAGAAAAAAGAAAAGAAAGAATGAAAAAACCCACCAAATATGAAAAAATAGAATTGGATGAAGAATGTCAAAGAAAGATAATATGAAAAGAAAAAAAGAAACAAAGAATGACCCACCAAAAAGAATGAACAAAAGAATTGGATGAAAGAAATGGGAATCTGTGAATCAGATAATATGAAAAGGAGCCTCTTATTTGTGACAACAAAAATCCTTCTGACCCACCAAATAAGAAAAGAATGAAATGACAAAATGGGAATCTGTGTAATCAGAAATGAAAAGAAAGAATGAAACTGCAAAACCAAATATGAAAAAAAAAAAATGTAATCAGATAATATGAAAAAAGAATCAACAAACTGTAATAATCTGAGAATGAATGAAAGGAGCCTCTTATTTGTGACAACAAACTGAAAGAAAGAATGAAACAAAAGAAAAAAAAAAAGTGAATGGGAAAAAAGATGAAAAAAAGATCTTAATGACAACAAATGAAAAGAAAGATAATTTGTGACAAACAAAAGTAAAAGATAAATGAAAAAGAAAGAATGAAAGAAAGATAATATGAAAGAAAAAAGAAAGAAAGAATGAAAGAAAGATAATATGAAAGAAAAAAGAAAGAAAGAATGAAAGAAAGATATGAAAAAAAAAAGAAAGAAAGAATGAAAGAAAGATAATATGAAAGAAAAAAGAAAGAAAGAATGAAAGAAAGAAAGAATGTTAAACAGAGAAGAGTGTGAGAAGGATAAAGAAAGAAAGAAAAAAGGAAAGATAAAAAAAGAATAAAAACAAGCATCGAAAAATGTGATAAAAAGCAGATATTAAAAAAAGAAAGAAAGAAAGATACGAAGAAAGTTAAACGTGTGAAGAAAAAAATGAAATATTCAATAAAAAATGAAAGAAACAATCTTAAATATAGAGGACTAACAAAAAGAGTGAATGAATCAATAAGAGAAAGAAAGAAATCAATCACATGGAATGAGTATAAAAAATAAAGGTAAATCCCATAATAGAGGGAGAAAGAGAAAGAGAGGGAGAGAGAGAGAGAGAGAGAAAATACAAAATGAAGAAAGCAGAAAGGAAAGAAAAAAGAAGAGAGAAGCTGAAAGAAAGAAAAAAGGAAGTGAAAAGATGAATGAAAAACGAAGAGAAAAGATGAAGGAAAAAGGAATATAAAAGATGAAGGAAAAAAGAAATATAAAAGATCAAGGAAAGAAAAAAGGAGGAGAGAAGCTGAAGGAAAGAAAAAAGAAGAGAGGAACTGAAGGAAAGAAAAAAAGAAGAGAAAAGCTAAAGGAAAAAAGAGAGAGGGTGAATGAAAAGAAAAAAGAAGAAAGAAGCTGAAGGAAAGAAAAAAGAGAGAGAAACTGAAAGAAAGAAAGAAGGAAGAGAAAATATGAAAAAAAAGGGAAGAGAAAAGATGAAGGATAAAGAATTTAAAAGATGAAGGAAAAAGAAATATAAAAGATGAAAGAAAAAAGGAAGAGATAAGATGAAAGAAAGAAAAAAGATGAAAAAGATGAAGAAAAGAAAAATATGAAGAAAAAAGGTGAAGGAGAGATATAAGGGAAAGATAGATGAAGGAAAGAAAAAAGGAGAGATAAGATGAAGGAAAGAAAAAAGGCAAAGAAAAGATGAAGGAAAAAAAAAGGCAATGAAAAAGATGAAGGAAAGAAAAAAGGCAATGAAAAAAAAGGAAAAAAAAAAGGAAAGAGAAAGGAAAAAAAAAGGCAATGAAAAGATGAAGGAATAAAAAAAAAAGGAAAAAGGAAAAAAAAAAAAAAGAAAAAGAGAAAGGAAAAAAGGCAAAAAAAGAAAAAGGAAAGAAAAAGTCAATGAAAAAGAGGAAGGAAAGAAAAAAAAGGCAATGAATAGATGAAGGAAAAAAAAAGGCAAAGAAAAAGATGAAGGAAAAAAAAAGGCAAAAAAAGAGGAAGGAAAGAAAAAAAGGCAATGAATAGATGAAGGAAAGAAAAAGGCAAAGAAAAAAAGGAAAGAAAAAAGGCAAAAAGAGAAAGGAAAGAAAAAGGCAAAGGAAAAGAAAGGAAAGAAAAAAGGCAATGAAAAGGAAGGAAAAAAAAAAAAGGAAAAGAAAAGAAAAAAAAGGAAAGAAAAAGAAAGAAAAGAAAAAAAAGAAAGGAAAAGAAAAAGAAAAAAAAGGCAAAGAAAAAGGAAGGAAAGAAAAAAAGGCAATGAAAGATGAAGGAAAAAAAAAATAAAAAAGAAAAAGATGAAAGAAAAAAAAAAGAAAAGAGAAAGGAAAGAAAAAAAAAGGCAAAGGAAAGAAAGAAAGGAAAAAGAAAAAAGGCAATGAAAAAGAGGAAGGAAAGAAAAAAAGGCAATGAAAAGATGAAAAAAAAAAAAGGCAAAGAAAAAGATGAAGGAAAGAAAAAAAAAAGAAAAGAGAAAGGAAAAAAAAAAAGCAAAAGAAAAGCAAAAAAAGGCAAAGGAAAGAGAAAGGAAAGAAAAAAGGCAATGAAAAGAGGAAGGAAAGAAAAAAAGGCAAACAAAAGAAGAAAAGAAAAAAAAAAAGCAAAAAAAAGAGGAAGGAAAGAAAAAAAGGCAAAGAAAAGAGAAAGGAAAAAAAAAAAAAAAAAGAAAAGAAAAAGAAAAAAAAAAGGCAATGAAAAAGGAAGAAAAGAAAAAAAAAGGCAATGAAAGATGATGAAGAAAAAAAGGCAAAGAAAAAAGATGAAAAGGAAAAAAAGGCAAATAAAAAGAGAAAGGAAAAAAAAGGCAAAAAAAGAGAAAGGAAAGAAAAAAAGGCAATGAAAAGAGGGAAGGAAAGAAAAAAGGCAAAGAAAAGAGAAAGGAAAGAAAAAAGGCAATGAAAAGAGAAAGGAAAGAAAAAAGGCAAAGAAAAGAGAAAGGAAAAAAAGGCAAAGAAAAGAGAAAGGAAAGAAAAAAGGCAATGAAAAGAGGAAGGAAAGAAAAAAGGCAATGAAAAGATGAAGGAAAGAAAAAAGGCAAAGAAAAGATGAAGGAAAGAAAAAAAAAAGAAAAAGAAAGGAAAAAAGAAAAAAAAAGAAAGGAAAAAAAAAAGGAAAAAGGGAAAAAAAAGGAAAAAAAAAAATGAAAGGAAGGAAAGAAAAAAAGAAAAACAAAAGAAGAAGGAAAAAAAAGGCAAAAGAAAAGAAGAAAAGAAAAAAAAAAAGAAAAAGAGAAAGGAAAAAAAAAAAGAAAAGAAAGGAAAGAAAAAAGGCAATGAAAAGAGGAAGGAAAGAAAAAAGGCAATGAAAAGATGAAGGAAAGAAAAAAGGCAAAGAAAAGATGAAGGAAAGAAAAAAGGCAAAGAAAAGAGAAAGGAAAGAAAAAAAAAGAAAAAGATGAAGGAAAGGTAAAAAAAATGCAAAGAAAAAAAAAAAAAGGGAAAAAAAAAAAGGCAAAGAAAAGATGAAGGAAAAAAAAAGGCAAAGAAAAGATGAAGGGAAAGAAAAAAAAAGGAAAAGAAAAAAAGAAGAAAAATGAAGGAAAGAAAAAAGGCAAAAGAAAAAGGAAGGAAAGAAATAAAAAGGAAAGAGAAAGGAAAGAAAAAAGGCAATGAAAAGATGAAGGAAAGAAAAAAGGCAAAGAAAAGATGAAGGAAAGAAAAAAGGCAAAGAAAAGAGAAAGGAAAAAAAGGCAAAGAAAAGAGAAAGGAAAGAAAAAAGGCAATGAAAAGATGAAGGAAAGAAAAAAGGCAATGAAAAGACGAAGGAAAGAAAAAAGGCAAAGAAAAGAGGAAGGAAAGAAAAAAGGCAAAGAAAAGAGGAAGGAAAGAAAAAGAAGAAAAGGAGGTCTACTATATGACTGAATAGATGAAAAGGGATTTACCTGAAAATAAGAGACAATTTGTGAAAACTAAGCAACTTCCAATGGTAGGTAACATGAACTGAAAACTTCATATAAGAATTGGAGAAGCTTAAAAACCCACCATCATTATACAGTCGTTTATATACTAATACATTCTAACAAATTGACACGATGAAAAACCAAAAGAATAAAGAAAGCTATTTTATGTGTGTGTGTGCGTGTGGTCGAGGGTGGGGCTGGTAGGAGGATGCGGGGTTACCAGGAACAAAAGCCCAAAAGGAAACTCACAGTCGTTTTTATTGCACAATGATAAATGCTAATATGGCCATTATTGACATTTTTTCCAAATCATTAAACTTCATGTGATATTTTTTCCTGCAATTTCTAATGTTTAATATTTTTTTTTATGTTTGGTCTTTGTTTCTTTGGGGTTTTTTTGTTGTATTTTTTTGTTCTTTTTTCGTTTAGCTGATAATTTATTTACTTGCTCATTTAAAACTGTTAAAACCGTTACTCTAAATTTTAGGAAAGGGTTCATTGTTTTCAAATTAAAAAAAAAAAGTAGCAGACGATTGTGTGATGAATTAAGGCATGGAAAATTCACATCGGTCATTGATTCGGAAGGTCGTTTGCGTGTATATACGCACATTATATAATTGTATGTATGCGTTTAACGTGTGTCTGCGTGTGTGTGTGTTAGTGCGTCTGTGTGTATTCTTGTAATGTATCAGTGGACCGTAGAACATCCCTTGGGAAAGCTAATTCATCATTGTACCACACAAAATTTAACGATGTAAATATCATTATCATTGCTATATTTTAGACTTACCTTTTTTAAAAAAAAAAAAATATCACTCATTTGTGTAATTACTTTGTTAATATTTTATGTGTGAAATATCCTTTCAAATTTTCGAGGAGATTAAAACAAATTAGAACAGTGTCGATGAATTCAATAAAGACTTCTTCCTATAGAGAAAAAATTAGATGCTAAAAGGATCCAAAAGTAACGTTTAATCTCGCAGCTGCGCTTAAAGTAAAATGATTAACTAAAGGAATGAAGTTTAATGTTTCTGTTGGAATAGAAGCTATGTAATACACACAAAATGCCCAAAAGTGTCCGCCATATTGACAACAGTTTTTTTTCTTTCCATCGCCTAACATTTCTTCCACGATAACAATATGTACACATTATTGAATAGACAAAGTCCGATAATTATTTTAAGACATTTTTTATGTTTATATGTTCTTTTTATAGATACAAATATTTAGGTAAATGCTCTGTTTTATAAAAAACAGTATTAACAACATTTACCGTCCTGAATGTCCGAGAAATTATCATAGAAAATATGCGTCCTCCGACAAGAATCGAACCTGTATCCTATACGGAACCGTCATATAGTCTGACATGCTTTACCGATTGAGCCACAGATAGGCGTTTCGGTTAGGAAGGTCGATTTTACTGTTTTTAAACTACAATTCTCCATGATTTTCTCTCGTACATTCATATCTGCTCGATGCGTATCCAAATGTAAACAAATGACGTCACATATAATGAACTGACAAAGTCCAGCAATTATTTTAAGACATTTTTTATGTTTATACGTTCTTTTTATAGATACAAATATTTAAGTAAATACTCTGTTTATAATAAAGAGTATTAACGACATTTACCGGCCTGAATGTCCGAGAAATTTTCATAGAAAATATGCGTCCTTCGATATGAATGTACTTGCTTGATTTGGTATCTACAATAGTTAGTTCGCATCTCAAGTGGTCTCTTTTGCTATCGACCAAGTGTTTGATATCCGTCGGTCTCGAAAAACGTTGGATCTGTGCCCAAAGAGTTGATGACGGTACAGCATCTGATATTGCATGTGAGGCAACGCTGGAGTGTCCTCACCGGAGCGCAGACCTCGGCATGGTTTGATGAGAGATCGGAGGTTTCCCATGCAGCACGTCTCCACTCTACGCCTCCGATGTTGGCCAAGGGAAAGGTAGAGGCTAATATTGCTTGACATCGGCGACATTGCAGGAGATACCAGAACAAAGCTGAACATAATATTGGACTGCCTTAGAGACGCCAGGTCTGTATTTGTCCTTAGAGTTTACTCACGAAGAATTTTCCATGCAAATAAACTTTCAGATTCACTAATAAAGTTCCAAGTTTTCCTCATTTGCAAATAATGTAAGAAAAATATCAATGTATATACTTTGTTAATTCGTGTTCTTCTCTGTGACATATCCCTTCTATGTTACAACACTTTGGCGACGAGGATAAGATATTGACTCTGTGCGGAGTAAGTCTAAAAAGGCGGAGGGGTGTTATATACCGTACCTATATACCTATATACCGTACCTATGAACACTAATGGGTATGTCCCAATCCTCATCAATATGTTGGACACTATTGTAAGTTGGTATCTAAGTATCGAGGCGGTGTAATCGTTAGCAAGCTTGTCTCGTTAGAACAATTATGACTGAGTAGTGAGTTCGATCCTCACTGGGTGCCACCTACTTTCGGCATCTAAACTACGCTTGGAAAATCACTTTAGGCACCTCGAGGTGGTGTAATGGTTAGCAAGCTTGTCTCACTAGAACAATTATGACTGAGTAGAGAGTTCGATCCTCACTGGATACCCCATACTTTCGGCATTGTGCCGCATCCAAGCTACGCTTAAAAATTCACTATATGCTGTCTAAGTAGTGCACCACTAGCAGTGGTTTACCTATTTCACGCCGCTGGCGAGTATTGTATTTTGTTGATGTTATAAAGATTACCATTTCATTTCCAACCTCCCTTTTGGTTATTCCTCATTCAGTAACCCTTTCTAGGTTACAGCACCAACAAAAGTTTTGTGTCTTTTAATACTCTGCCTAGTTTTTGGAAAGCATCTTTGCCTATCCCAATACGTCTTCGGATATCAGTGTCGCACGTTCCGTCTTCTGTTAGAACACTTCCCATATATTTAAATGTCTGTACCTGCTTGAATTCGTATTTCCGAACTGTATCCTGTATTTTGGGCTCAACCTTTTTGTTAATAATCATGTCTTTTTTTTTTTTTAGTTTATTCCATGGTAATTCTGCCAAACAAAGACCAAGATTTGTTGTTTTCTTTCCGCTTCTTAAGCGAGTCAGGATTATACATTCAACCTAATAGTATCATAAATTAAAATCACTTAGTTCATTTGTCCTTTCATTCAGAAGAAATATACTTTCTCAACCTCAGATTTATTGTCTAATGTTAGACATTTGACCCACAAGAGCAAAAGAAAGTCTTTGGTGCGCATTGCCAATACGAACGGAACACATTGAATATGATACGAGCTTGTTTTCTTTCTTTTTTTAAATTGGTTCTTTGTTTTAGCTGATAAATGCAATCGATATTCTAATAAATCTGTAACAAAATAAGAATATTCGTTTCTCGATCTAATAGAATTTTCAAAGAAAAATGTTTTTGAATCATATTCACGCAAAGAGTTTGTGAAAACTGCACATATCAGAATTTGGAGAAACGTTTTAAAATCAGAATGAAGGAAAAGGCCGATTCTTTGAAAGACAAAATATCGCGCAAATATTTTTTCTCATTATATATATATATATATATATATATATATATATATATAGAGAGAGAGAGAGAGAGGCATGATTAAAACCTAATCTCTCTCATAAAAATATACTCTTTCTCTCTCTCTCTCTCTCTATATATATATATATATATATATATATATATATATATATGAAGAAATATACTCTTAAGGCGTGCTATATTTATATGATAAAGTGTTCAATATCATTGATAGAGCGTGTGTAAATATAAAAATGAACATTGAAGTCAATATAGAGGCGACAGTCTGTTTCATGCTAGACGCAATTGTCGGGCCTGACGAATGCGTCTAGCGTGCAACAGCCTGTCGCCTCTAAGTGTTGATTTCAATGTTCAATATATATATATATATATATATATATATATATATATATATATATATATATATGTGTGTGGGGGGGTATTTAGGCAGCAATCCTTCTTTCATGCACATTTCATTGAATATGATAAAGGAGTTGGTTAGATCCAGCGACAGGACCCAAAGAGTGTGAGTTCAATACCCGGTTAAGGCAGTGGAGAAATTAACAGGAGATAACTGATAACTGACATCCACTAAACATGGCACTTGGAACTAGAACAGTCTACACCGGTGAACGAAATAAAGGGTTCAGTTCGACATTCCAACCACCTGAAAAAGGCCGGAGCGTACAACGGCCGAAACGTTTTAATAAATATGGCGACAAAGATGAGGACAATAGTCCGAATAATGTAATCTTTTTTGCTATTGTCAACTGGCGTGGTGCATTTTTATATAATGTTCTTAATTCTACTTTTGTTCATTTGGTTTTTATAAAACCTATTGACGTCATTGTTTATGTACATCACGTCGAAATGGCCATTTCACCACAAGTAATTCGGTATTTACCAAACCTCACCTCAAGGTAGGATGAAACACAAAGCCAATTTTGATTATGAGGTAAATCCGAGACCGTGGTCTCGGGGGAAAATTCCCCGTAGAAACCGCGTAGACGGTGTCGGGTGTGTCTACCTCCCTAGCCGTGACTGACCTTCGGCATCGCCTCGTCTAGTTTTCTCCCTGTTCGATGACAGAGAGTTCGACAAGTGTGCCACAAGCCTAGCGGCGAACTGGCTTAGCTACAACTAAATGTTTTTTCTAACCGTAGCTTAAATGTGGCATGAAGCCAGAAGTGTGAAGCCCCTAGTGACCTCACTACTCAATTGATCTAGCGAACCAAGCTTGTTAAGCATTACACCGAAGTGCCCTTATTACCACAAGTCACTCATTACAAAAGATATTGTATTTGTTATTTATTGACAAAGCCCAAATGATCCTGTGTCAAAAGAAGAAAACCAGAGAAAAGAAAAAAATAACTTTCAGCTCATTTACAGTGAAGATGCGTATAGATCAAGGAAGAAAAAAAATCCTTCGAAATAAATCGTTATGAACAAAGACTGAATCAAGAAAATATTCGATGAGACGTGTCACTTAAGCTCAACAGTCTGGGGATTATTTTCAGACACGGACGATTTAGTTATCGCTATATGAGCGCGTGTCATGGGAGAAATGGCTAATAACCTTGCGCAGATCGTACCGGAAGTCGACGCCGGGTGTCTCAGAAATACTTTAAAAAAACACGAATGCTGCATATGAGATCTTTATGTTGTGTCATAAAAAAAGATTCTGACACAAAGAGTGAAGAGAACGGTAAAAAAAATAGCAAAAAAGAATCGGAAGAAAATAACAAAAGATCTGAAATAATTATGCTAATAATAAAAAAAAAAGACTACTGTTAACAAAGCAAAAGAGAATACAACATGGCCGATCGGAAATAGTAAGAATGTGTTTTTTTTTTCATGGTAACAAGAAAAAAATAGTCGTCAGCTTACCTTATGATCCGAAAAAGCACTGACAAAATAGGGTAACTTCCAGAAGGTATATTCCTTTTTATAGGACTCGTTTTTTATTATGATCCAATTTCGTATAAAATAATGAAGCTGTAAAAGAAGAAGAAAAAAAAAAGAACATTTAAAAATGTTGGTTTATTTGTTGTAATATACTGACAATTCTAAACAGAGGCTTTATTTGACTCATTCTGCTTTAGTGCTGTGAAAAGTTTATTTTAATTGTGATGGATGGTTACAGGCGATAGTCGAGATATGTTGTCCTTATTTTATTATCACAGATGTGCATAAAAAAAGGACAATCTTGGATTTTTGTGCCCACAAAAAAGGTGTGTGAAAAAAGCTATTTTTTCCGCGACGCTGCTATTGTTTTAATTACCTTCACTCCATCGGCAACGTTTATTGTTTTGAAACAGTGAATTTTAATAAAACCTAAACATATGAAAGTGAACATATGAAATTTAACGCATAAATCGGCACTTCGCTAAAGAAGAATATATATATATATATATATATATATATATATATATATATATATATATATATATATCACATGATAAGACACCAAAATTGTTGAAACAAAATGGCTATTTTTGTACTGGTTCTATAACATATTTATGTTATAATTTTAGAATAAATTATGTAAAATACTTAATATATATATATATATATATATATATATATATATAATATAATTAAATTTAAAAATATGATTCCAACTCGCGACATAAGAGGGTCTCATGTTTCAAAACAAGAGCCGAATATTTTAATTAAATTGAATTAAAGTAAGCTCTGTTCCATCTTCAAGCGAAATATTTTGGGGAATAAAGTATTTCTGAAATTTACGTGTTTTAATAGTATATTCATTATTGAAATCAAAATTTCCATTGTAACAGCCAGGGCGAATTGTTTAAAATAGTTAGGAGTGTGTTGGGTGTTAATAATATGTATTGGTATAGAGTTACTTTATAGAGGTATCAATAATATATATATATATATATATATATATATATATATATATATATATATATATTTATATATTATATATGCGCAGTATTTATGGGCTCGGATTCCACCTTAAACTCGGCCTTGTGTCACATCGTGCTTCGTGTGGCAGCCGGTAAATAATTATGACATGCTTATGTTATAAATCTTTGAATAAATCTGAAAGTGAATATATAAATTTTCTTTGTTCTTGAGAATTTAAAACAAAAATGACAAAAAAAAAACATTTGTTGTAAACTATAATTAGTTAGATGCATTCATTACTATTTCTTTAGAAGTTACGTCTTTAATGTCAGTATCAGTTTAGCCTCTAGTTCTATCAAATACTATTTATAAGATGCTGAGTTGCATATGAATACAACAGATCCTTTTGACAATCATCATGTTTTTACCTTGTCGCTAGGAATTGAGACTAAATTAGTAGAATTATGAATAAAATTTTCATCTGTAATGCCAAGGTCGTTGTGTCTGTTACATTTATTGTGATTGATCTTCTTATTCTCACTTAGAACAAATAGAATTCATTAATATATAATTTCATTTTTATCAAGTCATTTGATTTAAAAGAAAACATGTGTAACATAAAAATGACATCTTGTTCATTTTTGTTGACAATGTAAATTTGTCTTAGGTTATTTCGATAAAAGAAGAAAATGAATGAAGTTTAAAAACTGGTTGGTAAAATATAGGATAATTGACAAATGATCCAAACTTTATAAAATTATAAATATGGGTTTCCTTATGGTTGATTCCCATATATTAATAAATTTTGGGCGATGTAATGGTTAGGAAGCTCGTCTCGCTAGAACAAATACGACTGAGTATTGAGTTCGATCTTCACTGGGTGCTCCATACTTTCGGCCTTGTGCCACAACTATGCTTGGAAAATCCCTAATAATTTTAAAGATGTTTATAAATAAAAATGTTTTTATATTTGTTTATATATAAATTGGTAAATGATAACTGTTGAATGGCATTAGTTTTAATATAATTTTATTAGTTTTTAGATTGTTGTAAATATAAAATTTATTCTTGTAAATAAACAATATAATAAATAAATAATGTTTAATATTTTTTTTGTAAATTCTCAAGAAAAAATGTATAAATTCATTTTCGTCGTATGTTAAGGTTTTATTAAAATTATAATCATCTGTTTTTTAAAATAATAAACCTTGCCGAGGAGTGAAGGTGGTTAAAATAATAGGGGTGTCAAGGGAAAGACATTCATTTTGAATTTTTTTTTTTTGTTTTTGTTTTTTTTTATATTTTTTTGGCGGCCGGAAAGTTCTAAGGTTACCAAAGAATATTGTCTGAATCAAATACAAATTTATTTCGTATTTAAATTACAAACGGACTAAAGAACTTGTTTTTATTATTACGTTTGAACAATTGATCATTTCGCTTTTCATCAAGTAGGCTCTACTTGTATGTAAAATTATATTTAAAATTTTTCTGTATCTGTCTATATATGGCGACAAAGGTGAGGACAATAGTCTGAATAATGTGTCCTCAAGGACACATGGCACAGTGAATAAAGGCGTTGGTTAGAATAGTCTACCCCAGTGAGCGAAATTTAAGGGTTCTGTTCAATATTCCAACCAACTGAAGAAGGCCGGAGCGTACAACTGCCGAAACGTTGTAATAAATATGGCGATAAAAATGAGGACAATAGTCCAAATAATGTAAATAATGTTAAAATGTTCTTTATAGCAATGCATGATAGGCAATAAATTCGCAGATGAAAAAGAAAGGAGTTGAGGTGACAGAGATGACTTTATATCGCCAAATGCTGCTAATAACTTAGACAAAGCATGTGATCAACTTATATAAAATAAGA